CGCGTGGTTTTCTTCGGTATCCGTCCGGCCATTGGTTAGCAACGTATCTTTTTTCGCACTGGCTCGAGGGTGTACTACGCACTCCGGAATCTCAGACCTGGGATCACAAACAACGCAGGATGTGTTAGGGCAACGAACAGTAGTGCACTCTTGCAGAAATAGGGCTACGCATGCGCGCGGTGCAACGCGAATAGGGCACTCTCGTGCAGCGCGAGTGCCCTTGTCTTTAATGCAGTGTATTGCGGGCACGTGAAACAAAGAAACCAAAGAAAGATCACGTGTTTCGAAAGTCTTCTTTAGGCTTGCAGTTTAACCTTATCGGCAGTGCATCTTGCTGAATAATTAGTTTAAAAATGACACGCAAACAAATCATATGAACTGCACACAGCTGCATTCACAACTGTGACGTCAGAATGCGTCGACAATAATTTTGTATTTAGGTACCATTCATCTAATCTGATCTGTTCCATCAACAGTACCGAGCGTATAATTCATTCGTGGAAGTGATTTAGGCAGTGAGGAATTAACGGAAAATGAAAATAATTTTACAAAAGTATGGCGCCTCCCCCCCCCCCCCGCATACCTTCAAGTGATCGTGGTGTGCTATCTTCACCAATAATGATGTTTGGTGCATTGAAATTTTAATGAAGGCCGATAATAATACAACCAGCTGCACCACTCTCTTGTAACAATTCATGTGTAACAAAAGTTTTATTTTTTTCATTCGTGTTTTGTTGAAGCACGGTACTATACTCTTCGCCAGTTTGACCAGGTCATTGGCATCACAAACAATTCTTTTGAAAGAAATGTTCGAAAAAAATAATTTTCTCTTCAAAATAAATTAACCTCGGCCTACTTTAGATATTCCAGATTTATTCAACAATAAAAAATACAAATCAATCGTCTTAGTTGGCTGCGGTTAGGCAGCTAACTAAAGTGATTGTTTTAATTATAGTGTACATCTTCTCCTCACCTTAGTGGCAAAAAAAAACTTTGCTCGGACTCTGTCACACAAATGAAGCTATAGGAACCTGCATTTTGCGTTAATTTAAACTAAAGCTAGAAGTGTGGACACGGTCCATCTGGCGAGGAAGGAAGACGTAAGGAAAAACAATGTAAAGAGTCGTTTATATTTCCGGCATAACTTAGTACACTGCCTAAATGTTCGCGTAAACTTTGTAAGTGATTGGGTATAATATTTACAAGTCTTGTGAAATAAAGAAATTCACTCGCATGTAAAACTTTTCTGAGAACGCACCGTTTTTATACAGCAATGCTGACCTTCAGAACAAATTAAGAAATGTATTCTTGCATTTATAGGCTTTCTTCTATCTTTGTGTTCAAAGTTTACTTTGACAGACCTAGGTATTGGGTTAGCAAATGAAATACATTGAGCGTAAATACATCGAAAAGGCAACTGCACGAAACAACCTGTGCCTACTTCTTCAGGCTGAAAGTCAAAAGAGAGCACGGCATTAAATATATACACATTTATTTATTTACTCATTTATCTATATATACTTTTTGTTTAAAAGTAAAGCGGGCGAGTGTTCTTGAAGCGTGCGTAAGTATTTAAAAAGCGCAGTTGTATAAAGCTGATTAGGTATATCATTGTACAGGACCTGCCCAGCATACTTATAGCTTGAAGTATTGCATCTACTGAGACGTATATATATATATATATATATATATATATATATATATATATATATATATATATATAAGTGTGCGCCATGAATGAGAGGACTGGGTGCTTTTGTCTTACGAACAACGAAAGCATTTTTAGCGGTTACTGTATACGGGCCCAGGTACTGCATTACAACGCAACATATTACTCATTCCGTCAACAGGCATATCGACTAAGCAATAACACCCCGTCGGCAACAACTCCCCTACGCCGTGGTTTTCGCTTGTCGGGTTACACGTGCGTGATATGCACGGCTTGTCAGTAGAATCTAACAGACTAGATTGCATAGGATAATTCCGGGCTTCTGCGAGGAGCGCGGTGATTGAAAGCCTTTTTGGGTAGAGCCACGCTATCCCCACTGCCTGAACACTGAGCTCGAATGAGCGAATCCCTCTAGCGCGTTGCATGTTGTTAAGGCTTCCTGGAAAACGAGCTTGAACAAGCAGAGAAGCCGGCTACTGTCTACTGAGCATGACAAGTCAATTCTTGCTTGCGTCTTGCTCTTAGTCGTTTCCTACGAGTCTGTGTATTGTTACTATAAAGTACTTTTGCTATACAATCTCTGAAGTTCATTGGCTACGGTATTATATCTATAGCTATATATGCAGTCTCTGAATAGTTGCTGTAAGTTTGGGGAAGAAGTGCGCGCATGATACGAGCTGTCCATGAGAGGCATGGATTTTTTATAAATCTTGTTACTCTTGCTCAATGAAAATCAAGAAAGAGAGAGTAACTTTCACTCTGCAAAGTTTGTAAAACTGATGTATGCATGGTCTCGCCGTAATAGTGCTTGCACTGCGATGGCTTCATAGTTTTCTTAAATTGCATTTTCGGGAGTTCAGCTCGACAATTCCAGTAAGAGCATCTTTAAGTGGTAAAAAAATTAATAAAGGAGGCACTTGTTTTCCTGTTGTTTGCTAATTCTAGGAGCATCGAATGCCAAATTAGACCCGCTGAATGGATCGGAATTGTTTGGCCTTTATGTTTGTAGTTTAACAATACGCTATTTATTAAACGCTGCCCTTTCTTACCACTTGCGATTCACATGCTTGCTGGCGCCAACCATGCCAGATGCAGTCTTAAGGCTGGACGCGTTTATTTTCTACTGACTTTAATATATGTATACACAACTGGCAGAAATGGCATTAGACTTTGCGTGTGCATATTTTCACCGCAAGACAGAGGCGGCAAAAGATGTTTGGTTGAATGGCATAATCAAAAGGGCTAAGTGGCCAGTGTGTCTTTTTTACTGTAGACGGTTGAGCATGCATGCCAAAATTAGAGCAACAGGCAGGATCAGCCACACTAGTGAAAGCAGCATTAGTATTTAGCAAGCGCAGAATGAAACATAACGAACACTTTGTTGAAATGGGAAGGAACAGTTTGATTACTTCACTAGACGTCACGCTAGTACACATGTCAACAAGTCACATGAGCAACACGATATTGCCACAAGATAGCTAAGTGACGGCGCAAGTATATCCCAGAAAAGCGGGGAAGAAAAAAAAAAAACTCCAGTCACATTCTGTAAACTGACTTGTCGTCCATTCCGTTTTCTCGTGATGTCGCATAGAGGCTGTATGGTCATTTGCTCCATCCCTTTTTGTTTCTTTTCTTTGATTTCCGCTGCCCTAAAATTGTCACACGCGAGCGTCTCTCGAGCACCAAGGCCTGGCTCAGGGTCAGATCTAGCATCAAAGATTCCTGCGAAGAGGAAAACACTTGCGCCCTCTGCTCTTAACCACTTAGCTTAGCCGAGTTTATGGGACCAAAGCGTGCGCCCGTGAACTCGCATGATTTCGACCTCTGATCAACGAAGGCGCCCTAATACGGCTGAACCTTAGCTCACCGGCAAGCTATAGTTCACCAGTTTAACGGCTTACTTTATTTTGCACTCAACGTTGGGGTGGCAGTAAGAAATTTCGAGACTCATATTTGATTGTATTGAAATAAATTGCGGAAAGCTATAGGACTATAGGCTGAATTTTCAAATTGTCTTGACATGTAGCTGGATGTTTAGAGGGTAACGACACCAGATAAAGGAAATTAGAACCTCGGTGAGTACTTCAGAAAAACTGCAGTTCAAAAAATGGTACATTTTTGTACTCGTGTAGGCTAGGGAGATCTCGCACGTTGTTGTTATCTCTAATTACTGGCTTGTTCGTTTTGGCTGGTTCTCTTTACAACATTAAAGTACTTTGTTCATAGTACATTAGTTGAATTTTGGCAATTCAAAACTTTTCATTGTCTGCCCTACAAGCACTGAATTATTGCGCGATTACATAACTCCCATTACATCAACAATGCTACCCTTTGCATATTTTGAGCTATGAGTGAGCATGAGAAGTTGTCATAAATCACCGTGTCATGAATTGCAGCAACCCTTAACGTGTCACTTTAAGTCTGCGACAACCTATTACGCATGTGACGACATATGAAACGTATTGTATCCTGCTACCATTGCTCTTTCTCTGACCACTTTTGTACTGCTACAAGAAAGTATAATAAACTTAGGTTTCTCCATCCGTCTTGCGTACATAATAATCATTAATTGCATGGAAAGACCATGCTTTCCCACAAGCCGACGAATAGCATATTTATTGTCAACTCTTTCATAATTGAAAATTGAACCATTACATAATATTCTTACCTACCTTGCGCTCATCTTTCATTCTGCTATAATCGTGCATCCTAGCTTTTGCAATTGCAGGCTCAATAATTTTCGGTCTAGAGTTCACGAGAGAAAAGAAAGGGTTATGGAGATAGTAAAAAACGTAAATATTACGCGTACGGATTTTCTAACGCTCCAATTATTTACAAGTATTTAATGCATGCAGGCCATACATCTTCGTCAACTTGCTTTAAATTCAACAAACGCCACCTGTTCGAACATTAGCACAGCACATAGTTGTGAACAGGTAGGACAACAGCCGTTCAAGGTCAGTTTTTTCAGTTCAATGTGCTAGGTCCAGCATGACATCTGGAAATATTTCTTTTCGACAACATTATTTTATACTTTAACAGTGATATCAACATTCCCCTATGAACACACCATGGTTATGTGTCTGATGGAATGCAGTATAGTAGGCTATGCCACAAGCTTGTATTCAATGATGGCCTAAAGTGAAGCAGTGCCGCACTTGCCACAAGACATTTCAACTTATAAGCATTCTGAAATTCTTCCAGTGCTACGACAAGCTTTTACATGTGGCCATAATCACAAAGTCTGTCAAACGGAAGGCAATGCACAGGGAAAAATAGTGTACATGGCTCGGCATGGTGAACTGGCATGTTCGCTGTGCACTGCTTGCAGACTTGCGATCTCACTGCACCATGTGCTGAAATACTTTAAATGCTCCATGCCCTGTCATGCGCGAATGGGCGGCGCCGAGCATGTAAAGTCCTGGATGGCCTCAGACGGCCGAAGTGGAGAGGTACTCGCACTGCGTATCGTACCTGGACAGTCCTCTGTGGGTGGCAGCTCCACCCCCTCCAGCGGCCGAGCGGATGGTGGTTCCCCGCAGCGAGCTTGGCTCGCGCAGTGTGCCACAGCAGCTACGGCTTTTGATAATAGCCACGAACCCACGGCGGAACTTGCGGTTGAAGTACGCGTATAGCACCGGGTTGATGCAGCTGTTCGAGGCGCCCAGCCACTGCGCCACGGGCGTCAAGATGAGCATCAGGTTCCAGTCGACGCTGCCTTCTTCAGGAGCGCTTCCCAGCTTGAGCCTCGTGAAGATGATGTACAGTGGCAGCCAGGAGAGCACGAAGATCACCACCACCACGAGCATCATTTTGACCACCTTGAGCTTGGACCTCTGTATCATCAGGTCTGTCTGCTTGGTCTCGCCCGGAATGCTGCGCCGCCAAACCTTCGAGAAAGAATAACCAACAACTTTCTCGGGAGCTGTATGTACATACGCACGTGTTCTAACGCTCAATTGTAAGCAGTGGCACGGCGTGCTTAATTCAACGCATTAAGACCCCAAAGTTGAACTTTAGGGACACCTGGCTGGGCTAATTTGACCAATGAGTCAAATTAGACCAACTAGACACTTACCTTGTTAGAAAACTTATATGTGACATTGTTTCTGCTTTCAAGCAACACCAAGGTTTGAATGCCATGCACTGGCAATATAACAGTGCATGATTTAAATATAACTCTGAAGGCACTGGGTTCAGGCTAGTTGGCACTGATTCGTAGCTTTTGTACGCTAAGACAGGTGTGTAAGACGGGCGAAGGACGCGGAACAAGCGCTCAAAGGCTTGTCCTGACGAAGGTGCTTGTCTTTTGTCTTTCGCTTATCTTACGTACGTGCCTTTACGGCGGACAAAAGACAAATTTAAAAGCAAAAGAAAATATGCTGATGGTCTCTAGGTAAATACATCAAGCACTTGTCAATGATTCGGTAACGCGTGTCTTCCTTTTCATGAGATCCACAATATCGCAGGGCATGTCGTTTATCTTTGCCTACTGTGTAGCACTTTCAGATTCTCGTGTTGGGTAAATTGTAAATGCGAAGCATTTCTTAGTGCACTCCTGTGACTTTGAGCGTATCTATCTATCTATCTATCTATCTATCTATCTATCTATCTATCTATCTATCTATCTATCTATCTATCTATCTATCTATCTATCTATCTATCTAATATGTCTATATATCTATCTATCTAATATGTCTATATACCTATCTAGCCGCCTACGGCTTTTAACTTTCCTGGCCGTTTGAATAATAGCATCTATATCAGAAATGTTATGCCATAAATTGAGTGTATGACGACCATAATTCAATTATAACAATAAAATCATCACATGTATTTATTATAGTCATGATTTACATGTCAAGGTGTCGCTGCTTCTGCGGTGGTTTCGTTCGCATGAAATATTGCAAAAATGGTATGGTTTGACACAACTGCATGGCGAACATAAGTCACAGGCCCTCACGTGTATATCATGACATGCGTGTCGTGTAAGTCATGACTATGAGCTACACTCACGGTGCACTCACGGTCGTTTCGCTAGCTTTACATATACAAAATTTTGTATTACGTGACATGAATGGATGACGAAGGTATATGACTGGTGCTAACATGATAATCAAGACAGGCGTGTCATGTAAGAACATGACTACATGCCATGCTCATGAAGCGCTCGCGGTCATTTCGCTAGCTTCACTTATACCAAATTTGATATTACGTGACGTGAATGCACGACGAGCCCAATTTCTAGGCGCAAACATGAAAATCATGACATGAAAGTCATTTATGGTAGAATTTACGTCTTCCTCGTAACGTTTCCTGTTTTTAATGTGACAATTCAACCTCCCTCATACGTTCTTCGCATATCATTATTTCTCACTGTACTTGGGATCTGCCGATTGTTTTCATTTATAATGCGTTCAAAAAGAGTCAGGTAGACGCAATTCAGGATACTAGTGTCACTGCTTTTCTGCCAGTACATGCTGCTATATTTTTGCAAATGATACGCGTGTCTTCCTTTGAGCACCACAATATCGAAAGACACGTGGTTTGTTTATGCCTGCTGTGCAGTAATTTTAGATGATCACGTTAGGTAAACTTTTATTATGATAATGCGTCCAAAAGATGTTGAGGCAAATGAGAGCCAGGATATTAGTTTTCTGCCAGTGCTTGATATATTACTGGAAATGGTACAAAAATCTGTTGTGCACCTAATCCGTCAAATGTGGACAACGAATAATTAGGGCGATCTTTCGAAAAAAAAGAAATGCTAAATACCCATGCACAAAAAAGCCTCACTGCCATTTCTCGCACCCTGGAATTTAGTTGTACACGAATAACGAAGTAGCGTCGAATACTGATGGCATAGCAGCCACTGCTCGAGATATGTAACACCAAGTAAGTAATATATATATATATATATATATATATATATATATGTATATATATATATATGTATATATATATATATATATATATATATATATATATATATATATATATATATATATATATATATATATATATATATTTATATATATGTATATATATATATATATATATATATATATATATATATATATATATGAGATTGAGATATAACAGACAGTAATGCCAAGGAATGTACAGGGGAAGTTATTAGAACCAATGGAATGTAAATAAGAAGAAAGAAGAAAGAAAAGTGGATGAAAAAATTACCAGCTGTGAGCTGGTAATTTTTTCATCCTGTCTGTTATATCTCATTAATATTGTGTTAAAACACGGAAATACGAGCCTTTAGGTATACACTTCTCTCCCTTATATATATATATATATATATATATATATATATATATATATATTGTGAGCTTGCTTCGACAGTAGATCAGCTGTCTTCGCTGCTACGAACACCACACCAGATAAAATTTTACTGCCGCGGGGCACTACTGTCGCCTGCGTTGCCGATCTGGAGCCTGCGTGCGTCGTGCCTCTTACCCCTGCCTCCTCCAAAGGCCATCCTGGAGATCATGCTGCCTCCTCGGCCTTTACAGCAGCCATAAACAAGGACTTGACAGACTCGCAGAAGCAGCAGCTGCTTGATTTGTTGCAAAAGCATACAAACTCTTTTGACGTTCATTCATCCAGTCTGGGCCAGACAACTGTTACAGCACATCGTCTTCAGACAAACGGGACATCCATTGTGCATCGTCGTCCGTACCGCGTTTCCCTAGCCGAACGAAAAATTATTGAGGAAAACGTAGACGATATGATGCAACGGGAGATAATCCAACCGTCAACCAGTCCTTGGTCGTCTGCAGTGGTTCTGGCGCGTAAAAAAAAACGGTTCCGTACGATTTTGCATCAATTACCGAGCACTCAATAAGATCACTTGGAAGGACGTATATTCCATGCCACGTATCGACGACGCCCTCGATTCCTTACAAGGTGCTGAATTCTTTTCAAGCCTCGACTTGCGTTCCGGCTATTGGCAAATCCCCATGCACGAAGATGACAAAGAAAAAACTGCGTTTGCAACCCCGGACGGCCTATACGAATTCAATGTTATGCCGTTTGGTCTATGCAATGCGCCCTCAACTTTTGAGCGCTTGATTGACACCGTGCTGCGTGGCCTGAAATGGAAGACTTGCCTATGTTACCTCGATGACATTGTTGTCTTTTCATCGACGTTTCCTCAACATCTGCAACGCTTGGACGAGGTCCTGACTTGTGTTGCGGGCGCTGGTCTTCAAATTAACACCAAGAAGTGCCCTTTCGGCAGCAGATCTATCAAGGTCCTCTGTCATGTTGTGAGCAAGGATGGAATTCGTCCAGACCCTGAGAAAACTGCTGTGGTGCTTCGCTTCCCTCGCCCTGACAAGCCGAAAAATTTGCGAAGTTTCCTTGGTCTCGCCTCTTACTTTCGGCGATTTATACAAAGCTATGCCTCCATAGCCGCACCACTCCATAAGCTACTTGCTTCTGGTACGCCCTTTCAGTGGTCTCAGGAATGTGAATCGGCTTTCGACAGGTTGAAGAGTGCCCTCACAACCGATACTGTACTTTCTCATTTTCACGATGGTGCACCGAGCTTCCTCCATATAGACGCTAGCGGCCACGGTTTAGGAGCCGTGCTCCTGCAGCGTGACAACTCTTCGCGAAAGCGACTCGTTGCGTACGCCAGCCGCGTCCTCTCCGCAGCCGAGAGGAACTACACGATCACCGAGAAGGAGTGCCTCGCCATTGTTTGGTGAGTGCAGAAATTTCGTCCCTATCTTCACGGCCGCCATTTCACCATTGTGACCGACCACCACGCTTTATGTTGGCTTTCGACACTCAAGAACATGTCGGGACGCCTCGGCCGCTGGATTCTACGCCTACAAGAGTATGATTTTGACATCGTATACAAGTGTGGCAGAAAGCATAGCAACGCCGATGCTCTTTCTCGCTGCCCACTACCAGCGGTTCCCCTCAGCGTTTCCGCAATCACTTTGAACAACACACCCTCGGAGTCCACGTCTACGGTGGTTTACTCTCTCGCCTCCATGAACCAGCTGCCTTCGGACGACCAGCACGATTTTTCTTCTCGACAGCTGGCTGACCCATACTGTCGACGTATTATAGGCTACCTCACTGGCAGTTCCCGTCCACCTAATGCGAGGCTCCGTCGCCAACTCTCGCAGTTTAGGCTGGACAACTCGGTGCTGTACCGCAAAATTTACCATCCTGGCGGTCAGCGCTGGGTTCCCGTTCTACCCCGATCGCTTCGGTCCGAAGTCCTCAGAGCACTTCATGACCATCCGACGGCTGATCACCTTGGTTACCACAAAACCTACGATCGCCTTCGAAGTCGGTTTTATTGGCCAGGTATTACCACTAGTGTAGCTTGGTACGTTGGGTCCTGCACTACCTGCCAATGTAGAAAACTACTCACATCTGCTCCAGCCGGTACACTACAGCCTCTTCCGTGGCCAGCCACACCATTCGAAGTTGTAGGCATCGATCGTTATGGCCCCCTTTTAGTCAGTGCTGCTGGAAACCAATGGATAGTAACAGCCGTTGACCATTTGACGCGCTACGCCAAGACGGCATCCGTCAGTACCGGTTCAGCTTGTGAAATTGCCGATTTCATCCTCCGAGCCATCATACTGCGTCATGGTGCTCCACGTGTATTGCTCAGTGACCGTGGAAGGGCCTTCCTTTCACAACTAGTGAACGAACTTCTTCGCGCCTCCGGCACAACTAACAAGACTGCCTCTAGTTATCATCCCCAAACTAACAGCCTCACTGAGCCATTCTACCGCACTCTTGCTGACATGATTGCCGCCTACATTCAACCAGACCACAAGAACTGCGATGTAGTTCTACCATTCGTCACTTTCGCCTACAATACGGCTATTCAGCGGACAACCGGCTA